GCGACCTGCTCATGTATTATATGTGGTATGTGTCCTCTGACACAGCGTTCGTTGTCGCCAGTAGCAAGCTGGCGGGCGGACAGAATGGGATCGAGTGAGATCCTAACCACAACAGTGAGGGTCAAACGCCCACTTGACATGCATATATATATATATTGAAAAAGTAATATTCTTTGGGAAGAAAATAACCTTTGATGCTTAAGTTTTCGAGTCTTGTTCCCCAGCTCGTGATCAGACTTTTGTGTTGTGTATAAAAACAGTTAACTATTTAACCGTGTCGAACAAGTTATTCTATGGTTGGCCGAAGAGGACGTGCTGAAGTACAATCCATCTGACCCTAACCACTTGAGCTTCCTTGCTAGCTTCGAATCAATTATAACTTCGGCACGTCTTACAGAGGAGGAACAATTTACAATTCGCAACAGCACTGTACAGGCCTCGAAGAACAGAAACAATTTCTTAACTCTATCTTGCGATGAAAAAAAGCAGTAAATTTGCTTAAGACAGATGAAAACATCGTCATTCTGCCTGCTGACAAAGGAGGCTCCACCACCGTAATGAACAAGACAGACTACGCAGGGAAGATGATGGCAATACTAAAGGACGAATCCACCTACGAACCCCTGAATGCTGACACCACAAAAGCACAGAATTCATTCATTGAAAAAACACTAAAGCGCCTTGCAGGAAAGAAATTAATCTCAGGAGTTCTGGCTAAATCCTTAAAACAAGAGGAACCCACAATCGCCAAGATATATGGTCTTCCTAAAGTTCACAAAATGGGTATTTCACTGCGACCGATAGCCTCCTTAATCGGTGCACCAAACTACAAGATTTCTTAGTGGCTATTTCACCATCTACATTCACCTACAAAAGACTCTGAAAACTCCATTGAAGATTCAAATCAGTTCCTAGACAAATTAAAAGGAGTGAGTGTTGCAACCGACGAGATAATGGTTTCATTCGTTGTATTTTCCCTCTTCACCTCGATTCCATTAGACGTAGCGAGACGCTGCACCGAAGAACTCCTTCAGGCCTACACCGCTGATGTACCTGCCGACGCTCTACTCCAACTATTTGATGCTTGTCTAGAAACCAACTTTTCTTTCGCCAAACAATGTCATCGGCAACCGAAAATTGCCCCCATGGGTTTACCCATGTCTGGCTTTCTAGCAGAAGCCATAATGCAGAAGCTGGAGTCTATAGATCTTCCTAAAATTAATTCAAAACTATGGCTGCGCTATGTTGACGACACATTTGTCATTGTCAAGAAAAACAGATCAGACCGACTTCGCACGAATCTTAACTCCACACTTCTAGGAATCAATTTCACTTTCGAAAGAGAGGTTGATGGACAACTCCCACTTCCGGATGTCCTCATATGATTAAAAACTGATGGATCCCTTCACACTTCAGTTTACCGCAAAGAAAACCGACAGGGCAACGGGCTCGTGGGCCAGTGGGTAGAGGCGTGGACTTCTAAACCAACAGGTCGCGAGTTCGATGCTCGGGTGTTCCACACTCCGGGCTTGGGTATGACTGACTGACGACGGCTAATAAGCCAGAAATGGCCATTCCAGTCTCCCTTGTCTTTGTCGGTAATACCATTCTGCCTATATATCATGCGCCGCTGTGCGGCTGCTGGTTGGGCTCGAGAGAGAGCCCTTAAGGCACAACGGAACGAGTGAGTTCCGTATGAACGATCGGTGAGCGCCCCCTACCATCATATATATGTATATCGATATGCGTAAAGATTCGAGGTCTAGACATTGTATCGCGTACACCATCTCCCGGAGAGGACGACGAAGAAGAGAGGTCGAATTCATGGACCATATTGTATTCGAACTGACGTTTCGGAAACTTCCTCGTTTCCATCATCCAAGAAGCGTACTTGTTGCACCTGCGGTCTTTAGTTGTTTAGTCTTGCCACTTGCCTCGTATTATAGCCGTGCTCGACGCACGAACTTTGACCTGCCTGTTTGCCGCTGACTGGCTTAAACCTCTCCGGGGCTGACCGCTGACAGGCCTGCGTGACCTTTGTTCCCTTTGGGGTAGTCGTAATTGTGGTCAAATCAACGTGCCGCATGACCTCTCCCACGTCAGCCGGTGGACTGATCGGTCGTTGCTGTTCAGGTGAGCAGCATTCAGCTTTGCGGGCGCATCGGTTAGACAGTGTTCGGCTTTGGTCACATGAACTCTGGCCCCCAACTCCACTCTCTTCCGTGAGCGTTGACTCTCGGTCCCGCGTACTTGTTTGCCTTACTGGTCCTGTCCGGACTAATCCGAGCCTTGAATGCAGCCCCTGGCAGGCGGGATGTAGATCTATAGCTCGGTTGAGTGTGCCAGTCGAGGACCACCTTTCGAGCACCAGTCTGGCCATCTTCTCATTGGCTCGACCAATTACCCTCACTTTCTCAAAGGCAAAATCGTGGTTCAGTTCGCGTATGTGGCCATAGACCAAAGACAGCTTGTCCGTGCGGTTGATTGCAAGTTGGTGTTCCTGCAATCTTGTACCGAGGCGTTTGTCCGTTTCACCAACATACCTCGCATTGCAATTTAGGCATGGTATACTGTAGACCACCGCCGACTGTTCTGTTGTCGATAGCGGGTCTTTGGTCTTCATGATTTGCTGTCTGATGTGCATTCTGGTTTATGAGCCACGCCAATCCCAAAAGGTTCCAGGATTCTCGCCGTTTCCTCTGATACGTTCTTCACGTAGGGTATTGAGAGCCAGAACTTGGGCTTTTCTCCACTCGACCGCCCAAAATGAGGCTTTTTGGGACAATTGCGTATGAATGACTTCGGGTAGCCGTTGGCTTTAAAAAGAGCCTGTAAGTAATTCATATCCTCCTTCCTCCAACTGTCGTCGCTACAGTGGGAGGAAGGAGGAGATGAATTACTTACAGGCCCTTTTTAAACTCCAACTCCAACTGTGTTGGAGGCTAGAGGGGGATGATGATTCAGTGTAACTATGGCAAATGGACTTAATTGTTGTCGATCCGACATGAGGGCAGAGGTCAGTGAGCCAGCGTAGAGGTGTTAGGGATTGCAGTTGCGGTTTGCTGTCTGGGGTAGGGGGTGGCGAAACAGTATGATTATACATGGCCCGGTATGGATTAGCGGCTATTGTCAGGTCGTGGGTGCAAGTCAGACCTTCTTAATGAACATAATGAAGGTATTCAGACTCAGATGCAACTGCGCCAATTCGCAGGTCTTCATGATAACGAACGTATCATCTTCGTACCGGAGTCACATTTTTGGTTTAAAGGTTCGCACAACTTCCTTCTCTAATTGTTGTAGTACCAGTTCAGCTAATAGACTTGCTATTAGCGAGCCCATTGGCGTACCTCTAAACAGTTGACAGAACTTTCCGCCGAATTGACAGTAGTTCTTGAGACAGAGTCTAAGAATTTCTGAAACGTGTTGTATTAGAATTCTGGTTGGATTATCTTGCAGGCGTCGGGTTACGCTCTCACTCGCCAGGTCATGTGATATTGAGGAAAACAGGGCAACCACATCAAACGATAGAATACACTCATCAGGACTTACTTTGAGGCCTTGGATCTTCTGGAGGAATAAATACCACCGCTTTAGATGCCAAAATGAAAAAGCGAGCCGAACTTCCAGTGGGTAATCGGCCGGGCCAGTAATCAGATGGCCAGATTAATGCATTAAAGTTGGTCCTCGACTGGCACACTTAATAGAGAAATATACCTGCATCCCACCTACCAGGCGCTACGCACAAGGCTCGCGTCAGTGCAGACAAGACCATCAGGACGGTCGAGCAAAATCGAGCGTGGCCGACAGCCTACGTCAGCGGAAAGTAGGAGAGAAGCCGGCCGGAGGTGATGGGACCAGCGTGGGACGCCACGTCGTCGCGACGCCCACGAGGCTGAGATCAACTTACATGAGCCGCAGCAACTGATCAGTTCGCTGGGTGACGAGGGGGAGGCCGACAAACATGCTGGCTCGCCAACAATTACGACGGCCGCAAAGGGGCCAAAAGTGGCAGGAACAATCGTGGAGAGGCCAATGTTAATCGGCGGCGGACGGGCAGGTCATAGTTCGTGCCTCGAGCATGGATATAATATCAGGCAGGTATCAAGGCTGAAGCAACCAAGGCCAGCAGGAACAGCCAACACATAATTCTGATAATGGAAACGGGAGGGTTTCCAAAACGTCAGTACACATATAACTCGGTCCATGAATTCGCTCTCTCTTCTTCTTCGTCTTCTTTGGGAGACGATGAACGCGACAGAATATTTTGACCTTGAATCTTTACCCATATCGATGTATGCTCTGGGCGCTCAACCCTCCGCTCAGCACGCAGATGGGAGGCCTTCGCGAAGCGAGAGTCCTCCACCTACGCTCAGCTGAAATCCCTGCACAGGTGCCTTGATGAGGACGTCCTACCGAAATGCCTCAGATATAGACCGCCTGTGAACACTGACCTTTGCCGACGGACGATGGCAGACTTCAAGGATAGAATGATCAGGGTACTGATACGAGACTGCCACGCCCGCATCCACAAGCACCGCCAGATGATTGAACATCATTCGTCAACTTGTCAGTCGATCGTTACGGCACACAAGCTGGGGATCCTCAAATCGGCAATTCTCGACAGCGCTCGGCGTCACCGCCAGTTGCGTGATGACCAGTTGTCTGGAAAATTTGAGAAAATAAGTCCGCCAAAGCAGCCCTCTGCTGACGGTGCCTTGGTTCACAACTTGTCCTCTCACCGATTCACTCAGCAACAACTAGCGGTTGTATCCTATGACGCAAAGTTCAGCACAAGAGATGCTGCATCCTTTGAATTGGCGCTCCAGAAGTGTGAGGCAGGCGAGGAGTGCAAAAACGCCATGCGACAACAAGTGTCGACCTTACTCCTCTGACACAAACGCCAGATGACGATTTCTAAGGCAGAAGATCGAGAACTTATGAAAATACGAAAACTAGAGGATATCGTCACCCTACCCGCCGACAAGGGTCGCTCGACTGTCGTCATGGATAAGGCTGAGTACTGCACAAAACTAGGCAACCTCTTGATGGACAAGGAAGCTTATGCGCCATCGACTGTCAGTAAGTTCAAAAAGCTCGTATACAGCATAAACAAGACGATAGGCAAGCTGAGGAAGGCGGGCGCTCTTACTAGAAGGGAAGCGCTGGCCGCAAAAGCCAGTGATGCCGCAATGGCGCGCTTCTACGGCCTACCAAAGGTCCACAAGCCGGGAGTGCCGCTATGCCCCATAGTCCCCCTCCGTGGTACCCCAACCTTTGGGCTGTCAAAATGGCTGTACCAGCGACTTTGTTTCCTTACCAAAAATTTGGAGTGGACAGTGAAGTCGACTGAAGAGTTTTTGTCGCGCATCAGACGTCTTAAAGTGGAGGCAGATGAGGGGATGGTGCCTTTTGACGTGATCCTATTGTTCCCCTTCATCCCACTCGCGCTGGCTATCGACACTATTGACGGTTGTCTCCGGGAGACGTAGGATGAGACCGATCAATAGCTCAAACGATTTCACATCATCGAGCTCCTAGAATCATATCTTAAGACGTTCTTTACATTCAACGTCTACGAGCAAAAAAAGGGGACACCGATGGGCTCGCCTCTGTCCGGACTAATTGCCGAAGCGGTTTTGCAGAGGCTTGAGCGGCTGGTCTTCAGCTCGTACCCCCCAAAATTCTGGGCCAGATACGTCGATGACACTTTCGTTATCATCAAAAGGAGCGATGTGCAGACTTTCAAGGCACTGTTGAATTCATTCTTTCCCGACATCCAGTTTACTATGGAAGAAGAGCTCAACAATCAGCTGGCCTTCCTTGACGCGCAAGTGACAAAGCTGGAGAACGGAAAGATAAGGACAACGGTCTACATATGTATATATATGTATAAATGGAAGAAGAAAATATGGCGATCTCCGGAGAATAAAGCTTAATCATCTGAGGTTTCGTACTTGTACCCGAGATAGGTAAAATTAGACCTTTCGCGCTTGCACCTGATATGTCCATCTCACACTCCTCCTATTGCCTCTCCTCTCGTGCGCAAATGGTGCCTGACGGCCTCGTATGGCGGTGGTAAGTCGATACTGTGGTTGATCGTATTGGCGTCTGATTGACAGGTCTCGATTACTTCTCGCGCCAGTTTGCCTTCGGCTCGGCCGAACAAATGGGCGTCGTCAAAATCGAACATGTGATTATTTTCTAGACAGTGCATGGCGACATGTGATCGTACATCCCTTCGCTCTACGGCCAAATTACGCTCATGCATGCGCGTTCTCAGGCTTTTGTCGGTCATGCCTCAGATAGACAGTCTAGACATTCGACGCGGTAAATAACTCCTGACGTGTCCGCAGCGGATGGAGTGACCTTAGACTGCATGATTAAGCGGCGTATGGTGGCCTCCAGCCGGTGTCCAACGCCTACGCTTAGCGGTCTTAGCATGCGCTCAGTGGCTCTGGAGATGTTGCTCACGTAGGACAAAACAAGGAAGATTTCAAGTCTCAATTTTTTTCCCACCGTCGGTCTTCGTTTTTCTTTGGTAGAAGCATTTATTTACTAAACTGCGCGGATATCCATTGCCAAGGAAGGAGAGCCATAGGGTTTTACGCCCCCGCAGTTTCTCGGCTTCTGTTTTGCAGTGTGTGTTGATGCGGCGAAAAGGCGTCCGGACGCAACCGTGCTTATGCGACAGTGAATGGTTGCTGCTGTTGTGTAGAATTCTTTCTGTGTTTGTCGCCTTTCGAAAGGCGACAGTCTGGAGGGTCCCGCCTTCATGCCTCGATATCTGGACGTCTAGAAAAGGGGGTGCTCTTTCTTCTTCTTCCTCCATGTTAGACTGACTTTGTGGGAAAACCGAGTTCAATTCCCTTTTAAAGTTGTCCTTCGCGTCTCTATGTTGGATGACGAAGTTTCATCTACGAAGAGCATCCAAAATTTCCGTTTGCAGGACTGAAAGACCAAAGTTTCCAGTTCCTGTAAGACCTCCGCAGCCAGGTAACCGGAGATTGGGGACCGAATTGGGGTTCCCTAGATTTGCGCAAAAATTTGGCCGTTCAACGTGAATTAAGTGCGTAAGCAGTAGTCCAGTAGTTCCATCGCGTTCCTCGATTTTTTTCTTTATAGCACCTTCTCTTCAGTAGGTCATCGACAACTCTCATGGCCAACTCTTTAGGGATTGAGGTGAGCGTCAAAGATACCATTATCTCGTCAGGGGCTATTTTGACGCTTCTGAGTCTTTCCAAGAAGTGCGTCAAAGATAAGGCTGTGTTCTGAGCTGTCCGTTAGCTTCTTCAGATGTTTGACAAGTCATCTAGCCAGTGCATAGGTGGGTGTGTTTTTCAGCGCCACAATGGACCGTAGGGAAACATTGGGCCTGTGCCGAAAAGTCACAAGCCAAACGTCCCCTTACGAACCCGCGATCTACGGTTTGGCATTGAGTTAATGTCTTTGCCGGTTGTGATCGGGAATATCAAGTACAACGGAGGGGCGCCCACCGATGAGGTTACGGAACGTGCTTGTTCCGTTCTGAATTTGGGCTCATGCTAGAACCCTTGCAGGCAGTCGCACAGCGACTAGAAGTAGAGGTAAAGGAGATCGAAACGGCCATTTCTGGCTCATTAGCCGTTGTCAGCCAGTCATACCCAACCCGAAGGTGTGCACAATGGAACGAATGTGTTCCGTAGCGCGATCGATGCGAGCCCTTCTACCATTATATATTCCTGACCACCACAGGCAGAACAAGGAGCCCGTAGCTCAGTGGTTAGGTCGCTGAATCGAGCCCCGAGTGTTCCGTACCTCGGGGTTGGATGTGACTGGCTGACAGCAGCTAATAAACCAGAAATGGCCCTTCCAATCTCCCATTTTTTTATTGGTAATGTTCCCCACCATATATACAGTGCGTGACCGATTTCATGAAATTTTGGTCGAAATTCTGAAATGAGTTTCGATTAGGAAGAGTTACTTAGGTGGGGTTGTAATACTGATTAGCATGCAACATAATCAGAGTCAGCTGGATGTCGGCTTTAGTATGCACCCCTTTCTGACCTCCTGCAGAAATCGCCCTCTGCAAAAAATTGACTACTTAAATGCCATGCATTCTTCGTATTGATTTTCGATGGTCTTATAAATTCAGATATATTTTATAGAAAACGTGCACAAGAATATGCCTTCTTTTTGCTCGTTCCGTAGAAAATCACAGTCTTCATATTTTATACCTGAAGAAAGTGTACATTTAGGTTTTAAAAAAATTTCTAATTGTGAGATTTTTAGGACCGTATGATGCCCGTAAACACAACATTGCACATGTCCGTTTACTAAGGCCTCTCATTAAGTCTACAATACAGTCCGAATCCATTGCAAAACTTTAGGAACTCTATATGGTATCTTCTCAAAGGCCTACAGGAATGTATGATTTTCCTTACGCGGAAAGCATGCACCGTGTAAACTGAAATCGCTAAACCCTGATCTGGCACAAAATTATTCGGGAATCGGAAAACGTTTTTACAACGTTAATACACATTTTCCTCAGGTATTAAATATGAAGAGAGTGTGATTTTCTACCGAACGGGTAAAACCGGACATTTCCTTATGCACGTTTTTTATAAAATATATTTGAATTTATAAGGCCATCGAAAGTCAATACGAAAAATGCACACTACTTAAGTAGTTATTTTTTGCAGAAGACGGTTTCTGCAGGAGGGCAGAAAGGAGTGCGGCCAAAAGCCGACATCCTGCTGAGTCCGAAATGCTACAGGATTATGCTGCATGCTAATCAATATTACAACCCCACCTAAGTAATCCTTCGTAATCGAAAACGCGTTTCGGAATTTAGGCCTAAATTTTGTGAGATCGGTCACTTACTGTACACATATTTAAAAGGATGAAGGCTCGCACCGATCTGCTGGCTTCTCGAAGCAGACAAACTCCGGATGGACGTTAAAGGTCACAAAAAGCAACCAACTACCCAAATTCCATATCGTCCCTTCCCTCTGAAACATATGTTTAAAATCGTGGATGCATGCAACTGTAAAGGCCATCAGAGGTATTTCGCTTATGGCAAGGATCGCGACTCTGTCTTACGTCAGCATAAAGGGAGTTTATTCAGAGACAACAAAGTGCAAAGATTTAGGAACGCGATTAGCATAATAAATCAGCCCCAGTGAAAACGTTCGTTTAATGGTCAGCCTCAATAATGCTCGACTTATTCTTAGTTGGGTGGCTGGAGGAAGGGAATATGTGAATGCGTCTTGCTAACTATAAGGAACCTTATCTATAAGGCTTTCACGCTGTAAGCTGTTGATTAGCATTCTTTTCCAACGATGCAATCAAATCGATCAGGGGTGCTGACAGGTCGCCTCTCTGTCGAATCTGTCTGGCAAATATTTGAAACAGCTGAAGCTTCCCGATGTGCGTGCGTGTCTGTTTCGGTGGCCACAGTAACTGTGCTCCTATCGCATGCAGCAAACATCCACCGGTATAAACAATCTGACTCCCTGTTATAACATCCTGGTGCGTTAGAAGCTGCGGATTGGAAAGCTGCCACCCGACGGGATGACTTTCTCCTCCTCTCAGGAGGGGCGTGGAAGCTTCAAATGTCCCCGCTTAATGTGGCCTGCATGGCATTCTAAGTCAGTTTGGATCTAAGTTGCCGGCATCACTGTTGTTAATGTAAACCCCCGTGTGGGACGCCTAGACGTGCTGTTTAACTTTGTCGCCCAGTGCGTCCGATGCGGCTCCTGTCTCCTTGGCTCTAACTTGACGATGAACCCAGGAAGGCGTGGCAGGAGAGAGTGCGGTTAGTGCAGCACAAGTCTACTATCGCTATCAACTAATTCATGCACAAGTCACCGTCCCTGCGCCTACTCTGATGTGGTACACACGGCAGACATCATCG